CACAACGTCAGTACATCATAATCCTCCACACAAACCAGACTTTTGGTAAGGGGCTTCCACCACTTCGAAAGGAACAGCTCTCAAAAGGCCCCATTTAAAATGGATTCCTGTAAGGTAAGTCTCGTTCCAGAATGAGATTTGGTTGTCCCTCCAACTCGCAAAGTAACCGGCAACAATGTTTTGGAAGTATTAGTATGCTCAAGCTGGTTACTGACGCAGGGCTCGTGGCTGCAATGCTGCCACAGCCTCCACTTACCCCTGTCATGCACTCCATGATCCCTTACTCTCCACAGACAAGGCATTACAAAAATATCTTGGTAAAATGTGGTTATGAAGGCCCACCTGATGGACACAATACTGTTGGGGTTAGGGTTAGGAGTTACGGTAGGGACTAGGGTTAGGGGTTATGGTTAGGGGTTAGAGTTAGGGTTAGGGCAACTATTTCTCAACCACTCAAAGTATAACCGTGCATTCCCAATATCTCTTCCTTTGCATACAACTGCATGACCTCGTCTCCTGTGCGTTCTCCGGCCCCACCCGTAAAACGCCATATTCCCACCGGTCCAGTATCATAGGCGGCTGGGGTTTGTTTACTTCAGGCGGGGCTACATAACCACATCTGACCAAGATGTTACAGAGGGTAGAGTTGTATATGCCTACATACAGAGTCATGCAGGGATTTCAGACGCCGGCGTATTGCGCAAACTGGCTTTGCTTGAGACGCACATGTTGGGTAAGACTGTAGAGTGAATAAATCGGAGAAAATCCTTAGGAGATTGTTGATGGAATTTTTACGGCAGTACACCAAGCCTGCTGGACCTACATAGGAGCTTTCCAGGCCCTTTAGCTAATTTGTAATTATTTGTGAAAGGTCCAGAATGTGTCCCTGCATCGTCCCTTCTGTTCGTCCAACTTGCGAGCCCCCATCGTCACGTCACCGTAGAACAGTCGTTTAGGCAGGCGCTCACCTGGCATTCTTAAGACACGGTCGCTCCAGCGCGGTTTGATCCTCTCATCTCAGCATAGATGCTGAGCACTCCCCTTCACGCCAGGACTCCAGCGTCTGGAGTCCCTTCCTCCTACTTCACCTTCACTTTTTCTTAGTGGAAAATAAGATGAAAGTGGTTTGGTCTTCTTGCATGGTTCTCGTACGCCGTCTAAGTTTTCACTTTGAAGTAAACGTGGTCAAAATGACAGTCCTTGAACATTTTCAGTTTCTTATCGAAAAGTATGGCTCACTGGTTCCAGACTGGATCTTGCAATCTGCCTAAGGCCTGACTGGCTCTGAAGATTGAGGTTGCAATGTCGTCCTCGATCTCCATGTTCCTTGAGGTGGCCCTCCCCCTTTAAGCGAATTTGTCTACAGATGTGGTGGGAGTTCCGTTAGCACTTACTAGGGCTTGGTTGGATTCCTCGTTTGGCGCCCTTAGGATTTGAGCACTGTTCGTCTGTGCTGATACTAGATGCCTTCGCAACCGAACCCCTGCACGTGGCGCATTCTGTCGTACCGTTGTCTGGTTATCTGCGGAAATCATTTCGGACATCCGACCTACAGTCGTGGTTCACAGTGTCGAAGGCTTTGTCAGAACAACGTATATGGTGTGGAGGCTGGTTTTCATTTCTTGAAATCTTCTACGACTGATGTACCATAAAAGCCGTGTTCGCTATTCATCGTTGTTTCGGTAAACAGAGTTTTGTTCCTGGAGGGAATCCCTGCTCCAGGTATGCATTTAGGTGCTTGAGAAGAACACGGACATCCATCTGAGCAATGCTGAGATGGGAGATCTTGCAGCGATTGCCGCACACTTTCTGGCTTTTATAGTTCACATCTTTTCAAATACGGAATCTGTGATTTCTTGCATGACAGGATAACGCCATCTGAACAGAGCAGTAGAGCAATTCTGATTGGCTGATGGTCGTAGTTTACCCTGGCGACGCAGAAAAATTCTTCATTCTCCCGCAGTCACTTTCATCTTCTTTGGTCACTACTGACTTGATTTCTGCACCGGATGAAGGAAACCTTATCTGGGCCAGTCCTACTGTTAACACGGATTTTAGTAGCTTGTCTTACTGGAAGAGGAGGCGGCTAATTCCTTCGTTGTTCTCAGTCTTGTTTACACCGTCGTGTTCGTTCAGTAATTCCCACAACAGTTACATACCCGGTGTGCGGCGGCTTCTTCCAGTTCACTCATCATCATCGTCATCATCATCATCCTCATTATTATTATTATTATTCAAAACATACGCTTTTATAGCTAAAATCCAGTTTGTGTTCGGCCACTCGTAACAATTCAGTTCAGAGGACAGGAAAACGTGTTGAGGAGGAGGAGAAGATTGTGTTTTGTGTACGTCGATGAGAGGAACTCCTTGATGTATCCGCCGTTGACTGTGTTGCTACCTAGGGAGGCATTTAAGCCATTGCGGGTAATAAGTCACTGTGTGGGGAGCACACGCATGTCATCAAAGAACTTATCCTTTAGTGGGTGCTGTCACTGATAAATGTGATGGTATTTTTCTCCTGAAGTGGGAGCCTCAAAACGATCATTGAAACATTGTTGGAGATAGAGACAATTCAAAAGAAAAGGGGCGTTTACCGGGAGAGGTGTATTGGAGGTCTGACCTTTCGAGTAGTAGTTTCGTCTAACCATATTCAGATACTGGGAAGTCATGCGCACAGCTCTCCTTTTATAGGGAAAATTGTCTGATTATGTCGTTTCTGGTGGCGGAGGCGACTTCAGCCGTGCATTACTCTTCCTTTGGACGTACGCTGGAGAGGAAGTTGTATTCCGCGTATATGAGTGTTTTGTGTCTGGGTGGGACACTCCCGAATGTCCACTAAATGTTTCGAGGCACCTGGCTTCCTTAAAATTGCATAGTTTTATTCGCCTTCACTATATTAAAGGGAAATTGGTCTATTTAGGTAGGAATTTCTTGCGGACACCAGTTACACAGATGTCGGAGAAGATCTGTTGAAAGCAGAATTGTTATCATCTAAAAATTAACTCGGAATTGTGCGTTAACTGGTTTAGGTACACAACTGAATTAGCCATCTGTATTTAGGGAATGCATCCTCCAAATAGGTAAAGCATAGAGCTTAGTAGTAGTAGTAGTAGTAGTAGTAGTAGTAGTAGTAGTAGTAGTAGTAGTAGTAGTAGTAGCGCATAGGAAACACAATTTACCATACTTGGCATCACAGGTACTAGCGGAATGTCCAGACATGTGTTTCGCCGATATCCTGTCGCTGCATGGCAGAGCTGCGAGAGGTTCGACTCATCAGTGGACCACCAGAGTTCCCGGCGTGCTTCATGGTAGATACCATGTTAACTTTTGATGCTACATCCCTTGTTATTTCTATTCCCCAGGACCTGGCGGTCGAGCTAATCGACCTGCTTCTACAAAGCAAATACGATGAAACGGAGAATCGCCTTGGACACGCCCAAATCCTTCAGCTCCTGAAGCTCTGTCTCAGGACGTACTTCACGTTCGACGGGACAATCTACGAACAGGTGAAGGGCACACCAATGGGCTCGCCGATTTCGGGATTCATCGCCAAGGCGGTCGCTGGTCTTCCAACACCACAGACCGAAGGTCTGGGCCCGGTATGTGGGTGATACCTCCGTCGTCATCGAACGGGATCGGGCGCTGACATTCAAAGAACATCTCAACGCCGTCTTCCCGGACATTCAATTTACGATGGAGTAGGAAGAGAATAACCAGCTGGCCTTCCTGGATGTCCTCGTCTGTCGCAAAGATTGTGGTGGACTAAGGACCAAAGTGTTCAGAAAAGCGACAAATACAATGCAAGTACTGAACTTCAACAGCAACCACCCAATCAGCCACAAACGTAGTTGTGTAAGGACGCTTTATCGGCGTGTCGAAGCGCACTGCAGCGAGTTGGAAGACAAGATTGCCGAACTACAATAACTCCGACGGCTCTTCAAGGCCAATGACTACCCGCGCAACTTCGTCAACCGGTGCATACGCAAAAGGGACGAAAGGCCAAACCGCACGGACCCCAAATTTTGGCGCGCGCTTCCATATGTCAAGAACGTTTCGGAAGCTGTCGGCCGCCTTCTCGCACCACTTGGGGTTGGAGTTGCACATAGACCGGAGGCAACCATCAGGCGTCCGATAATGAAACCGAAAGACCCGCTGCCACGGCAAGAGACGTCTGGAGTCGTTTATCGGATCTGGTGCAGTTGCGGATAAAGCAACTACGTCGGAGAAACCGTAAGACAGTTCCGAACGCGAATGGCCGAACACGCTGCAGCAGTGCGGAGAAATGACGCCAGCTCTCAAGTTGCGGCTCATTCACTGAAATCCGGTCACACATTAAAATTCGACGAGGCCGAAATTCTTGCTAGAGATGACAACCGCGTGAGCCGGGAGCTACTTGAATCATGCTTCACTGGCCCCCAGTCCATCGACAGGTGCAACGACCTTCCCCTCCCATATTTCGTGATGAGACTTCGCCCAGGCGGAGTAATTAGCCTCGCGGAGAGCGTACAGGTGAACAATGTTCCCAAAGTCAGGGTCGATGGGTCAGATAGTCGAGCAATCATCACACCAACATCCAACACACGTGATGAAATTGCAGCAATTAACGGCACGAATATCGACCATCAAACAATCATCACACCAAGGACAACGATCCCTGTTGAAGAGGGTGGTGGGGGAGGGGGGGGGGAGCCATGGTAGCATGGCGACTGCATCCTATAAATACTGCAGCCCCTTGTGCATGAACCACCCATATCTGCTTTTGTCTCTGATGATGGGTTCGGGCAGGGATCCGAAACGTTAGGCGAATAAGGCTCTTGTCCCGACAATCGTGCCTCCTTCTTCAATACTGCAGTTTCTAACTTGCAGACCCTTTATTTCCTCAGAAATTATTAGATAACTTGGAGTACATCAGTCTACTTGAGACTTATAGTCTCAGACTGAAATTTGATATAAATATTTGGATCAAAGTAATAGTAGTAAGGTGTGTGCTCCCACAACGGGTCATACTATAGAAGAGCCGGACAGAAACCGAGGCTAGTTTTGGTCACGGCAAGCGTTAGTCGAGTAGCACTGAGTCCACACGGGACGACAACTACTTCCGTACAGGGGGAGGGCGGAGCAGTGGCACGCCTAGACCTCACGCCGCTTCGAGCACTGCGTCCAGTCCCAGCACAGGATGGTTGACAGGCTCGGATAGCCGACCGGCACATGAGAGGGAGAAGAAAGGGTGAAGTCGGCCCTGGAGAGTCCATCCACACGGCACTTCAGCGCATCCCTCGCTAACATTACATGCTTGAGTCTACCACGACGTCTTGGAGGTCGTAACTTGGAAGGCTGACTGTGTAACTCGGGTCTTCTCAGGAATGAAAGTTGGACTTAACGACCCCCTCTCAATGTGGCCTCTATGGCATTCTCACGAGCATGAAATGTGACTCAGCCCTTGCTTCTGTGAAAACCTGGTCCATTTCGTTCAGACTGGGCAGTGTGTAGCTCGTGTAGGTGGACTGTTTAGTTTTGTCAGTCACTGCGCCCCGTCCCGCCTCTGATAGTTGTTTGTCCCATCGTCGGACCCAGGAGGTTGAGCGGGAAAGCCTGCGGCAGAAGTTGTGTAAGTCTACTACCATTTGTTTTGATATAAAATTCTGGTCAGTGTACGTCATGAACCAGTGGTGTGGTGGTACGCCTAGGCGCAGTTTCTCGCCGCACCAGTCACCCGCGCCCTCTCCCGCCTCCAGTCTTCTTGACTGTGTCTTGGCACTAGATCATGGTGGGGGAGGAGGAGAGAGTGCGGTAGATGCTGCGCAGATTCACTGCTACTTCAAAGTAACTCACGCGCAAGTCACCGCCCCCGTCCCCACCTTGTTGTCCAGCACGCGGTGGACACCGTCGGCAACGGCGGTCGAACTGGCGCCCTACCGCCTGGAGTAAACTGCCTAGTGGACGGTCATGGGAATCATTGTGACAAGTCAACCTTCCGAACGAGCAACATCACTTCCTTTACTAACAATATTCAAAATGTGGTTGTGTTCATAATACATACCTGTGGACAGTACAACTAGCACTGCTCAAGCAATGGAACACCATGCGCAATTTAAAATAGAATCAATGAGTTAAGAAATAACCGGAGTAAACTACACTGGTCTATCTTGACTGCAAAACGAAGAGGAACACTTCCTCCTCTTTTTTTCGGAAACGAAGCACGCAGACAAAACGCCCGTCAACCATCGTCCGAGAGGCCAAGGCAGCGAGAGGAGAGAAAATCTATCCGCATGAGGCTAACCAACACAACATGCCGCTTCAAATTTCGGGTCGATTGTGAGCATTTTACGCTTTGACAATGGAGAGCCGACCAAGCTCTTTGAAGCGTCAGCATCTAAATAAACCTGTTCCGCTGAGCCCTTCATCTTCTCCTTTTTCTTAACTTTACATTTAGGCTTGTCTGCGTCGTCAGCCAGTCATAGTCTTATTCCAACCACTTCAGCGTGACTGGATGGTTCCTATGTTAGTCGATAGAGCGTGAGCTCGTGGTCAAAGAGGCAGAACAGTTAACTTAAATGATTGATTGACCAGTTTACCCGGGTTCAGCTCTCGGGTTTCTAGGGTTTGTGACTGGGTATGACTGGCTGATGATGGAAAATAAGCTAAAAAGGGCCATTTCGGTCTCCCTTGTTCTTGTCAGCAGCCTTAACCGAGAACAAAATTCGTTTGTAAATCTGCCACCTTGTTGTCAAGCCAAAAGTGAGACGCTCAATCACTTGGTAGACAAGCATAGCCATTAAGGAAGTAGTCTATAGAGAGCACATTGACAGTACAAAAGCAGCTTAGATTAGAGGTCTCACGACCAAATTTTCAACTATCGCATTTCTAAGATGCAACAGAAAAACCTCCAGAGGGGCACACAACCTGAGAAGACGTCCAGACTTTGAGAAGTGGGTGAAGCGAGGATCAGTCGGCTGTTCGGCAGTTTCGTCCGGCCACTCTTCCCCTTATTTTCTGGGCTTCCGTCCCACTCCCTCCCCCTGGCCCCTCGCCCCGGATCCTGCGCGGGCGCCGCACGCTTGACGGTGGCGGTACCTTGAGTGTAGGCGAGCCGTGACGAGGCCGTCATGCACATAAACAAAGTGGGAGCGAAGTTGCACCGGACCATTGTAACGTCAGCATGTGCATGCGCACACGCATTGCAGTTACGCCCTCGTTCGCCCACTCCTTCTTTCCCCACTTCCAGGACCACTGTGATTCCACTTGAGTGCACTTGCGCACGCATGTGTGCAGACTTGCCGCATAAGTTTCCCTTGCACGCCAACACGGGGGCGGGTTTGGGCGCGTAGTTGTGTGCTAGCCTCCCCCCCACCCCGGGCGAACGCCCGGCATTGAGCACACTACAGACACGAACAGAGGCACGTGCAGCTCACCCAGCTCGCTCCAACCTGGCACCCTGGACACGCCGACTCCTTCCTCCCACTCCTGTGTCATTTGGTTTGAGCCGGTGCACGCCCAGAGCTGGTGGTATGCATCGACCTCCCATTGGCTCGTCCCCAAATTGCCCTTCCCTGTATCGGCACATACACACCACCACCATTCTCAAAGGGTCAGCCACTCTGGGTGTGCGATGCGCAAAAGTGGCTCGCCGAGGCAGGCGCCCACGCAATACGTAACTGCTGTTGTTTATGCACTCCCCCCCCGCTTACACCCAGTCCGGTGCTCGCTGGAGGAAGTCACGCCGATCGATAATATTTGCTCGACCGTCGACGTCCTCATCACGTCGACGGTACGGGCTGCCGCCCAGTCGCGACTCCGTGTCCTTCACTTCACGCACCGCGTAGGTGCCGTTCATCCGAAACGCAGCGGCGACAACGCAGGATCATGGAATCGCGCAGAAAGCAAGCTCGACCTGTAAAAAGTGAGTCTGCACCAACTTTTTGCCATGTCCCCACTCCCTTCTAGTCTCCCCTCTTCTACACTTTGAGATTACATTGACAATCTTCCCGCTAGTTGCCGCTGTCACAGTTAAACTAGGGATTGCAGGGCCCTCTATCTGTCAGAGTAGGGCAGTCACTAAATAGGAAGCCGGGACATAAGAGTTAACCGTCCAATCTTACCGCAAAAAGAGTCAAATTAATAGTTTGTGAGGAGGTCCGTATCTCGCCTTACATCGACCTCCACACTAACTCCTCCTAATATGCCTTCGAAGATGTCGTAGATCCCTATTTTTGCTACTGAGGGGAAGTCGGTGAGGCTTGACGAAGTGAGTTAGAGTTGTGGAACCACTGCTGTCTCGTCAATTTGAGCGCGATCCGAATGTGATCAAGGTCAGGGAGGCGATTGAATGCGTGCACCTGTTCTGTATGTTGGGATATTGTTATCCTGAGAGATATGACACGACGTCTGTATAACTAACGCAAAATCCCTTCCTGCTCTATCCCTCCGAACTGTTCTATGTCGACATTCTACTGAGGGATGGGCAGCTGATAACCCCCTCAGCTTAAACCACTTCGCTCCCTAAGGATGAGCGGGTCCTCCGGACCGATATAGCAACCTCTGCGACAGTTTGTTCACAGGTAGGTAAGTCAGGGAAATAGGAACCCGCCCCCGTAATACAGGTGACCTTGTGCTAAACTCCAGGGAGGGCACCTATTCCCGTGTCCTAACCTTACCCCTAAACCCAACCCCAACCCTGCCTGAAATCTAGCACGAGGCCACCCGTATTATGGGTGGGTTCGTATTCCCGTTTCCTACCCACAGGTAAACCCCCAAAACGCACACTACCGCCATTTTCCGGCTTTGACATGAGATGCGAACTATGCAGTCGCATTTTTAACGCCAAACCCGTCTTGTAATATTCCAACAAAAATAACTGTTATATGGTTGAAGCATTCGAGTGAAGGGTATCCAGCTCATCTTTCCCCTGACCGGTACCGCTCCTCACACGTCCAACCCCTCTGAGGCTATGCTCGACAAGCTGTTGACTTTTTAGTTATCTGTTTGAAAAGTACACCCTATGATTGACTTCATTTTCTGATAGCCTGCTCAACGGACGAGAGGTCAAATACCTAACCCCTAAGTGGCAATAATGTCGAAACTAGGTTTGACAAACACAAAAGTGACTACCTGAGGGTAAGATGCTTTTGCTTACTCGCTAATTCGGAAAAGAAAACAGTCTACTAGTCACTGTTAGGACGATTCGTTTTGTCCAACAGAGAGATAGTGCCAGATAATGCTTACGGGACTTTGTCTATACAACATTCTGGTTTTCAGGTCTCCTTGGTGAGGTTTTTTAATCTGAGTGAGGTTGGATTTGAGGCCGAAGATTGCAGGGGGAAGTCACATTTCCCCAGAGTAGAGAATTTGCACCTGGAGGAGGAGTGGTTTCCCCTAAGATCATGAAAATGTACTGCCTTACCATCTTCACCTACCGACGAACCAAGCCCCTTTGAAAGGCGGTCATAGATGACTTTGACAAGCAGAACTTTAAGTGCAGAATTCCCCGGTCGGGAGGCTTGTTGCATAGTTAGGACAGGCAAGACAACAGAGAGAGAGAAAGGGTGCAGATTACCCATATTCTTGGATACGGCAAGGGCCTTTTAGTAAGCAGGACGTCGCCACAACATTCTCTGCCCAATCAGGTCCACAAAAAACTCTGCCAGCATCACGAGTAAAAAAACACTGTTTGCAAATTCGGGGTGCCAGCCAGGCGTTGCACTGTTATATAGCATAGTTAGTCTCGAATGGAGACGAATGCTCGAGTTCCAGTGCTAAACCAGCCCTTTTCTTATTTACTCACTTCGATTTTGTCATAAAATACATACGAACATTTTCATTCAATTCCGTACAACGTTGGGACGGAGCGCTTTGCTGAGATAGTAATTAGTCTTATGGCTCAGACTTTCCCACTGGCTACCTGTTCAGGTTTTATCACCTTTTCAACTACCAAGTTTTACATTATCGGTATGCAAAACCTAACGCAGTTTTCCACCGTAGCCGTGCAAAATTTCGCTATAAATCAGCGAACCAGTTATGGCCAGAACTCCGAGGAAACCAGATCTATTTGAATTGTGCAGAAGCTGGCCTATCAGGTTCTGTGTGAACAGGATGGCAGCCTCTTCGTGGATTTTTAATGCGAAGGTTGAAGTTATCGCCTAACTACCATTTGTCTCCTTGAGATCGGCTTAAGCTTCCCGACCCTTTCCATCCAACAGTTTTCACCAAAACAAAGGCACTTAAATGAAACAACAGTTTTCCCTTTTGGCTATTACGTGGGAGCACGTGCAAGGACCAGTCCTGAATCGGTTTGTGACAGGAGGGACTTTCCCAGCGTCTATCTCGCTACTTCCTCCCATACCCATTATGCTTCAACAGCAAGACTGACGATAGGTGAGGGCTCAGTAGCTACCGATAGTGAGTTTGTTTTCACGCCTGGCGCCCTCACACTACAGTTCGGCCGTCGCATGCGACATTGCTTGCCGCGTAGCCAACAGCATGCTGAGTGCAGGACAGTGACATGCGCGTGGCGGGTTTGCGCAGCAGCTGTCGCACTTTCTCCTCCTGCACCCACCTGAGCGCGGTGGCAAGCCAGAGTCCGGACAACCGAATACGGGCTTGGACACAGTGGCTGGCAAAGTTGAGCAGTTCGTCTAAGCGTGCCAAACACGACCTAGTGCACACAGCATGTACCAGGCCTACACGAGGACGTTTCGGATCTTACGTGCGTGACCGCATTGAGAAGAAGCCATTGAACCTGGTGCTCACTCCTCGAGCCAGTCACCCCACATGCACGATACTGACCACGAGGACTGAGTTATTCCGTCAGTTGGCAGCCTTCCAGGCCACAAATTTTATTACATCATGATAGCTTCGAGGTCCCTCAAATACAGTACCGCGCAGTGGTGTGTCGTGAGAGTGGGTCTACCAGTGTGGACCTCTCTCCTCTCACACGCACCAGTCACTGTCATAGCCGATAACTGTGTGCGCGCACATTGGTCCCTACGCGCACCCACACTCGACTTCATGTAGACAGTCTTGACACCCAATTAGATGAGAGTTGCCACAAAGCTCCCATCAGGAAAACCTGGTCGTCAGTCCGAATAAAGAGCTTCGGCGACGAATGTGCTGATAAAGTAAGTGGGGACACTCCGCAGTGTCGGCCTTCCTCTCTCTTTGTTCCCTATCCCATCTTCCAGTAGGCTGTCCGAATATTTCCGTCGACTGGTGATTAGATTTGGCTCGGTGGTGAGGGCGGCGTCGAAGTCTCTTTGACTCCACCCGAACGGATTTCATCAAGCACTGAGTTCTCACATATATTGTATGTTTGCTTTCTCAAGTAGGAAGTTTCGTACGTAATAATTACACTAGGAAATTGAATCGTATGACTACTGCATGGGCGATGTGGGATTTTTGTTGATCGTTGGTTTGCACTGAAAGCAACACAGCGCGTACAGCTGAATGGGCCCTTCCGATGCGGATGACCTGGGGCACTGTGGAGAAAGAACACTGTGTGAGGAGTTTTTGGTCACCGCAAATGGCCCTGAGACTGAGTAGCATTACTGGCAAAGACAAGGGAGACCACAATGGTCATTTCTGACTTGTTAGCCGTCATCAGCCAGACATACCCGGCCCGAGACTGCTCCCTTGTGCGCGACGCGCTGCCCCATTCTGACGTGCAGCTGCGCTGACAGACCTGCAAACTGTTCTGGCCATTCGACTTTCAATCGCGGTCTACAGTGTAGAAAGCTTTGCGAGATCAACGTAGATGGTGTGGAGGCTGGTCTTTGCCTCTGGACACTTTTTCCTGCTGAGGATCCAAAAAAACCTGTGTTTGCTATTCAACGTTGTCCCGGGAAACTGTTTTGTACCTGGAAGGAGTACCTACTCCATGTATGCATTCATGTGCTTGGGAAGGACACGGGCATCCATCTTCTGAGCAGTCCCGAGAAAAGAGATTTTATAGTGGTTGCTGCAAATTTTCCGGGTTGCATCTATTTCGTCCTTGAAATCCTGCTGGATCTGTCCCTGTCAACAGACCTACTGGATCAAAAAGGTAAACTCGTTCCTGAGTCGAGGGCTGCCGTGCTTGTAGATGTCGCCTGCAACCGAGCCGGCATCTGCGGTCTT